ATATATTGCAATCTTCGCCCAGACACAGTGGCAGTAAATTAGGGTTCTTAAGAGTACAATTAGGATTGCAAATTGAAAAGGTTAGGTCGATCGGCTGTAATGTCAATCAAAACCCAAACCTAAGCACCTTCCGCCAGGGCCCCATCCAACCCGAAGTCAAAAGTCCAAGCCCAACCCTAGATTAAACCACACACAACATGGGAAGGTTGGTTAGGTTTGAAGATCTTCTTGTTCATTTTTGGCACTTTTACCTTTCATTTGGATTTTATAACCCATCCTAAAAATAGACAGAAGAATATATATATATATACATATTAATGTATAAAATGTATAAAATGTATAAAATTATAGTATACATATTAATGTATAAAATTATAGTATACACATGTATGTTTTGTATAAGCATCATGGTTTTAAAAACCGACCTGGAAACAGAACCATTCTAGCCACTGGTTTTCGGGTCAGCAGTTTGATCGTCTAGATCATACAGTTTGGATGGTTTGAATATTTTAACAGTGATATATCATCTTACCCATTAGATTGGAATATTAGGGTAAGATGCATATAAATATAAGAGAAAATAAAGATGGAATGAGAGGTACTTGAGAAGTCGGATGAAAGAGTTTAGAAGAAGAAGAAGAAGAAGAAGAAGAAGGAAGAGGAGGAGGAGGGCTTGAAGGCTGCAGTGGTGATGACGGTGGCAACAACGGCGGCGATGGTGAAAAACTGGAGTAGATTTGAGATTTCTCAGTCTCAAATCTCACACTCTCTCTCCTAGATCTGTCATCTAGTCTAAACTTCTCTTTTAGATCTCTAAATGTGAGACCTCTCTCATTGTCTCACACATCTCTCTCAATAGATCTCAGATCTAAGAGATCTTCTTCGCTTTTCATTTTGTTGTGACAAGTTAATAAACCGCAAACTGTTCTCTGGGTCAAACGGTTCAACGGTCAAACTGTCTAGGTCAACAGTTCGTTGACTAATTCAACGGTTTTTTACCAGAGACCAGGTTTGGGGTAAAAACGGAACCGTCCGCCTGAATGGTTTTTGGTCCAAACGGTTCGACCGTCCAAGTCAACGATGGTTTGAAAACATTGATAAGCATACAATATAGATACATACATGGATTAGATAGGTTTATTGGATTTGTTATAAAATGAAAAATTGACACAAAAATGACAGTTCATCAACTTTTGCATATAGAGTTGTATAGGAATTTCTTATATTTCATTTATAGAATTTTTTTTATTAGTAATACTTCATAGAATATTATTTTTGATCTGTTGTTAGTTTAATGTTTCCATGGGACCATCTGATCTGATCTCCTTTTTCTTTATAAATCATTCTATCACACGATAACTTTTGGGTTTGTTAACTCAATGGTAGAATTCTCAGCTTTTACCTCGGCTATGATTTCTACCATGAATACAAGACACAGTGACCTAAATATCCTGCGCCTGTATTCATGTTGAACTTGAACAGAATTTTTAGCTGAAAATTTTCTGATTTAATGAAGACAAAATAATAAAAGAAACAATGGTAGAAAGTTTTCATGGTACAAACTACAAACACAAGTTTTATAGTATGGTACCGTGCATTATGAGGTTCTTAATTTTGATAATGAGTCTATAGATGTTACACTCAAAACTAGTTTATACATGGACTATAAATTTTAAAAAATAAAATTTATAGGGGGCATTTGATTTTTGGACTTTGAGAGGGGGAAAATCTGGTTAATGGGATTTTGGTTTCTATTGACCAAAAATTTCATGTTCTTTTTTCAGATTAATGTGGGATCAGGAAAAGTTTATTTTCCTAGATATCACTCCTAAGTGGGTAAATAAATTTCCTACTTGAGGGAAAATTTCCAACACTTAATGGGATAATAATATCGCTTTTAATAATGAATTTTTATGGTTAAAATGATTATTTTCTTTTTACTTGAGAAATAAAATAACATAGATAAATGCATTTACTTGAATAAGTATTGATATAAAAAATTTACTTAGATAATTGCATTTATCCGGAAAAACAGCCATAGAGTTTGCATCTGTGAACCCATGGGCTCACGACAAGCCTGCCAATAAAAATGGATACGTAGGCATTTCGAATATGAGGAAACGTTAACGGGTGTTCAGCCCTTAGTTAAATAAACCCGGTTGAACCACCCATAAAACGACAAAAAATATAAAACAGATTTCTGTCAAGGTATTCACACTCCCTCCCATTTCCTCCTCTCCTCCGATCCCTAACCCAGATAATCATCCCACCGGTCACTCACTACACACCGGCATCCGTGAATGAGGAATCCACTGGTGGTGGCTGACAAATATAGTGCGGAGGAAGAATACTTGGAGTTAGTACTTGGTGAATCGCCCGAAGCAAGAACACAAGGAGGAGGAGGAGATACTGATGATGGAGATCGCACGGTTGAAGCAGGAGCAGAAGGCCATAGAAGAAGAGCTCTAAGGGATGAACAGACTTTTGCAGGTGACGGAGAGGAGACCGCAGCAGTTTCTGGCTTTCCTTTTCAAAGTGGTGAAGGATCTGGATCTTATTGGTCAAATAAGGCAGGAAAAAGATACAGCCAAACTGGTTGAAGTGAAGAAGAAGCGTCTCATCTCCTCCGCACCATCCTCATCTTTTGCACCGATTAAGACAAAAATGATGAAGATGGCGAAGATGGAGGAAGTAGTCGAAGAAGGTAAAGCTGCTACACCAGTTCCATTACAGGGCGTGGGTTACTGTACTTGGACAATGTCGAACACTTGGCCATGGCTGAGAGGAGGACCAGTTCTAGCTCAGACGCCTCTAATTACACCACCACCCTTCACTCTCACCGACGCCTCCTCACCATCTGCTTCTGGCTCTACAACTGCAACAGCCATGAATTCATACCAAACCGACGACTCTCAGGAATACAGTGACCAGATGGACTTCTTGCCAGAAATGGAAGGCAGAGTACAGAAGCCACCACCTTACCCTTTCTCCCTGTTCGTTCGGTGGTGGCTTTTAAGAAGTTTCAAAAGGTCATAAGATTGGATACTTTATTTTCAACTTTTTATCTGTAAATTAATTAAACGATTAATGATAGATATATTTGAATTATCTATATATATTTTGTAAAGAAAAACGACAAAGTCAACAACGCATAATCTTTTCATCCTTTTGTGGGTGGGTGGTTCGACCGGGTTTGTTCAGCTAAAAACTGAACGCCCGTTAATGTTACCACATATTCAAAAATGCCAACATATCCCATTTTTATCGGCGGGTTCACGCGAACAGATGATTGAACCATCTAAAACAGCTACAAGTAGCAATTCTGAATTTTAGAAAGCTAGATTTTTCTTATTATTTTTAAGAAAACCATTTGAACCGCGTTTGACCAAGGTGATTTTTAAAAAGCAGACGATTATTTCCGAACCATTCCACTGGTTTTAAAGAATCGCTTGAATCGATATTCGATAACTAATTCCAAAGAAAAAGGTTATTGCAAGGGTTTGAGACCAAGAATTTCTTTGCAAATCAACACACAAACCACTAAACCATTAAACTGCACCTTAAGTATAGGCGTGCACCCTTTACTAATGAGAATTTTACCAATAAGTGAAAAATGCATGAGAATTTTGGAAAAATACTAAAATATTTTCTATCACAGACAAAACATAGTTAAATTTTACACAATGAGAAACAGAAATAGAATTAATGCAAATACCACCTTGCACAGATGCCACCGTTAACGAATACAAGCTCTTGTACTATAGGCGTGCACCCTTTACATCCACTTCATTGTTGGGAAAGTTTAAAGAGAAAAAATGAAAGGAAGAAAGGGGGAGAAGAAAAAAAAAAAAACACCCACCCCACTTACACATGTGGAGGGTGGCGTTTGTCTTCAATGATAAAGCTTTGAGAAGGCCAAAAGGGTAGAAAGGAAAAGGCTATAAATGAGAAAATTAGAACAGATGGCGGTGAAACTATTTGGTCTGACGCAACAAAACGATTGATAGCAACAAAGAAAAACCTGCATTTTTCTTCTCAACCGGAGTCTATTTGTCCATGCATGACTTCCCACCTGTACGCTTAGGTTAGTGAAGAACGTCCAATGCTCAAAACTCCAATGTGAGGTTCCTGCCTCTTCAGACACCCCAATGAAGATAAATGGCTGCACAAACAAAAACTCTTATCAAAAGTCTAATCATGCAAGAACCCTCATCATCACCAGGAGGAGCAAAATGCACCAAGTTTGCCTCTTAAAGCATCAATTCATTTGGAAAGAGTGCAAAAGCAGGTCAATACATATATGCACTCCGGTTCAGTTTTGCAGACATTTGGTAAGAGTACATTTGTATACTGAAAATGACAGCAATCACGAATGCCAAGACATTTTCATTGGAAACGAGATCAAAGTTTGCTCCAAAATATGAATGCAAATTTTGCACTCAAAGTTGGTCAATGTAAAAAATGTGGATTTCAGTCTTGGGATTTGTGTTTATACCCATCACAACCAAAACCATTACAGTAAGAATACAAAATTTATCAATGCACAATTAAACCAGCTTTGCATTTTCATGAACCATGCATATTTGTACTTGCAGGGAACATATTTGTATCTGCACTCTTCCCAAATGGAGCCCAACTGTTTCATATGATTCAAATAAATATAGGGAGACGTGCTATTTTGCAATGTTGGTCCCCGCTATCCAGGGTCCTGGGATGGTGAATTGGATACAAACCTATGGCATAACAAGAAGGATAAATGGTACTATGTCATAACAAAAAAAAAAAAAAATCAAGGACTAGCTCGGATGTAAAAAGAAAAACAAGGATAGCATGCCATCGGATCCTGAAGTTAAACATTGAAGCAACAAAATTCAATATAAATAAAACCCGAAATGATTGACAGAAAAAAATGCATTTGGAAACATGAAGCATGGCTGTACTGCCAATATGAATTCCATCTACAAGAAACTAATTTACATACCTGATAGGTATTTCCATGCCTCGATCTAGATTTCACTTAAGCCTCTTTTCCTCCCTCTCAGAGATGCCATTGTGCATCTCTTGTGCATCGACCATGCCTCAATCTAGTATACACTGCAACCAGAAACAACCTATTGTGCATCGACCGTGAAAGCTTTGGAACAACAACAACAACAACAAAAGGCAACTCTGAAGAAATAAAAAGAGCTGCATAACATTAACTAAAGCCTCAACATTTAGATCCTGAAGCGGCATCCTCGGGAGAAGAATCCCTAGATGCATGGTTGCGATTGTATTCACAACCTCTTGTTGTACTTATCTTCTTTCTAATTAGTGAATGAATTAATCCTTGTTGCTGATCAAAAAATAGAATCCCTAGATGCATGCCTCCTCATCCTCTTCATCCTCTTCTTCATCTTCATCATAATCATCAATAATGGCAGGCTGGACACTGGGATCCACATCTACACCATTGACCTGGCTCACAAACTGTCCCCGCACACGAGGCCTCCTTTCAGCAAGTCGCTTTCGGTTGGCGTACCTAATCTTCTTATCAAAACACCTGTCTTTCCTCTTCTGCCTAAACTTCATTAATGCTGCTTCCCTTCTTTCAACTCGACTTGTTTTCACTTCACTTGATGATGAACTTCCCATCAACTGCCACATGTGATTTGTGGGTGTTTGACCTTGTTGGAGGCATACACTGAGTGGATGATAATAGGGGAAGGATGCCATAACAGGTAAACGAGAAGGACATTGTGGACATTGTGAAAGATGACTATACTGGTGCAGCATAGGAGAACTAGCATGCTTAGGCAAATCTTGAAGATTCTGTTGGTATAATTGCCCTGATGATGGCACCATGACTTGATTCATCATTCCTGACATATAAAATGGGGCTGGCACACCAGAAACCTCAATTTGAGTTTCATTGCCTGGATGGAAAAATACTTTAGAGCATTGCTCATCCTTTAAATTCCTTTCTTGTGGGAACTCCAGTGCTAAAGGAGTACAAGATCTCTGAGCATAAGTGCAATCAGGGCCATTATCACTGCTTTGACAACCATATCTCCCAGAGCAGTTTTCCCATCCTCCTCTATTTTCATGTCTCGGAGCATCATCACTTACTTGTTTACACCAGAGAGGAAGTTTTTCTCCTCTTGAGTGTACCAATTGAGCAGGATTATCATCTACAGCACCAGCCTTGTGGGAGTTGTTTGTGGCCAAGTTTGACTTGACATAGGTAAAGAAGGCTGAAGACTCACCTACCTTCAGTTCACTTTTCTTTGGAAATGATGAAATTTTCCCTGAAACATTACTTCTTATACTTAGTTTTCTTGAGAGAAAGGATGAAAGATGACTGGAAGTATGGAACCAAGGACTTTATTCTTCGGAGTCTTTTTACCACAAAAATTCTTGCAAGATGATAATTTAGCTCAGATTTAACAGCAAAAGTTGCAGGAAATGCAAAGAAAAAGGAAAGAAATGAAAAGCTATATGTTGCGAAGTAAAGATTAAGAATAATCAGTTCATGAAATTACAAGGGCCAACACCTCATGACATACCATTAGTTTCATTAAGTAAATCAAAATAAAATAGTTTGCATTGCTATCAACCAAACTTAAAGATTATCATTTTATCGTTTTCCCAAATGCTGGTCCCGGCTATCTAGGGCCTTAGGAGGGGAGAACTGGATATTCTCTAAGACTTGAAACCACATTCTCACGTTTGTCAGACCAAGATTTTACCATTGAACCAAGCAATGGTTCCTATCATTACCCCAAATTTCTGAACTTTAAGTATAAAAAACCAGACAGAAAATACAAGCTATTGAAAGTCCTAGAAACAAGAAAGGTTAAAAAACTCAATTGAATAGTATATGGTTCAGAGAGACCAGTAGAAACCTGTTTGGCTGTCAGTTATATCTAGCACATCAGGATGACTACCAGACAAGATATTTGGTGGAGGCTCTGAAGAGGCAGTGGCATTGAACTGAAGAAAACACAAAGATGCACAAAAAAGATACAGTTTAAGCATCATTGGTTGGACATGAAATTAAGAAAAACTAAGACTGTCATGGTTCAGCATACATAAAGGTGAAGACCCTGAAAAGTGCAAAACAGCACCAGTAATTGACAAGAAGTATTTGATCCATAAAGATACCATAGCAAGTTCAAACTTCTGAATAGATCCTGCTCTCTGCAAGATTCCATGAACTTCATAACCCAACTGAGTTAAGAAGATAATATATTGAGACAAATCCACATCACATTCATGCTTTGGGTAGAGACCATGAAGGATCTTCTTTTCTAGGGACCATATGCTAGCCCTGGAGTTAGTTCTGTCAATTTGTATGGGTCTAGCCCAGGTCATGGTAGATCTAGTACAAAACCAAAAACTAAAATGTGTAGGACCACTTCCAAACCAGACCCTATAGGGTCTGTAATAAGAGACTCAGAATTGACTCAATTATCAATCACAACTATCAGGTCTGGCCCTACAAGACCCAATTATAATCAACGGCTCTATTTTTAACCTGCAATTTGGCAATAAACTTACAAATATGTTAAACTGACACATTTGGTAGAGGGTGCTAGTGGGGGAGAGATTAGTAGCTCTAATTTTAAAAATAACATGTACCTTCATAAAATTAGAAGTAGGTTTGTTATGGGTAAACTATTTAATAAGATAATAAAAGAAAAGAGGATGCCTAATGAATGTAAAAAAAAAAAAAAACTATGGTGCCTATATTTAAAAACAAAGGCAATATACAAATCTGTAATAATTATCAAGGATTAAACTCATGAGCCACATACTATGAAACTTTGGTAGAGAATAATTGAGCAAAGGTTATTACATGAAACAAGTATATCAAAGAACCAATTTGGGTTTATGCCTAGGAGATCAACCATGCAAGCTATATTCTTTTTGAGATGATTGATTGAAAAGTTTAGAAGAGAAGAGAGATCAGTAAATGGAGTTCATTAATCTAAAGAAAGCATATGAAACTCCTTAAAGGGATAATATAGTGGGTCTTGGAAAAGAAAGGAATGCCAAATAGGTATGCGGACTTAATTAAGGATATGTATGAGGGTGCAATAACTAACAATAGAACACTTGTGGAGAGACAACAGATTTTACACTTGCAATGGGTCTTCATCAAGGTTCAGCACTTACTTGTTATTCATTTGCACTGATCATAGAATAATTTGATGAATCTGATCATAGAATAATTGACTAAACATAATCAATATGAGGTCCAACAGTGCTTGTTGTTTGTTGATGATATTGTTTTAATTGATGAAACAAATGAAGGATGAAATGAAAAATTAGGTTTAAGGATGAATACCTTGGAAATAATAGGTTTTAAAATAAGGAGCAAAACAAAATATATGCATTGCAAGTTTAATAATAATAGGAGTGAAAATCAGGGACACTAGAATTGGAGAACAAGAGATAACTCAGCATGACCTTTTCCGGTACCTTAGTTCAATAATTCATAACAAGAGATTGAGGATGTCAACCCATTAGAATTAAAACAAGATGGACAAAATGGAAGGGTGCATCTAGAGCCTTACGTGATAGGAAAATACCACTTGGATTAAAGTGGAAATTCTATAAAACAGTTATAAGGCCAACAATGCTTTATGGAGCAGAGTGTTGGGCAGTCAAGAAGCAAAATGTCCAAAAAATGAGTGTTGAAATGCACATGCTGAGATGGATGAGTGGAAAAACTAGAAAGGATAAGATCAGAAATGAAGTCATTCATAGGAACCTAGGAGTAGCTTCAATAGGTGACAAAATGAGAGAAAGTAGACTTAGATGGTCCGGTCACGGGCATAGAAGACTACCTACAGGACCCATAAGGAAAAGCAATTATTTACAAGTTGATGGGGCTAAGGGGGCCAGGGGCAGACTAAAACAGACATGGTTCAAAGTAGTAACAAATTATTTAAGAGCTCATAACTTAACAATGGACATGGCATTAAAAAGAATGGAATGGTTAAAAAGGATTCATTAGCCGAACCCATATGATCAGTTTGGATCTTAATTGGTACAGAACAACCAAAACTAATCACAGAACCAATTATAATCAGGACAAATAATGCAGACCCAGACCTTAAATAATTAGGTTAGTACAGTTGGGTTCTCTTGGATCTACCCAGCCCATTGGCAGTACTACACAAAGTTGCCATAATAGCCTTAGATCCATTATAACGATGAAGGATTTCTGAAGCATGGTGAACATGCTTAACAATCATGATTGAATGATTGATGGACTGGAATTCACATGGCACTAAAAAAGACTTCTAATGAGACTGCTGCATGGGGACATTTTAGCAATGAGACATGCCCATAATTTTTTCCCCTTACTCCAAGACAAACTAAAGAAACAGCTGCTATGATCAGGATGCATAGGAAAACTGAAGCTGGAAAAGTCTAACAGAATTGCAATTCAGTGGTAAAATGGAGTCACATAAATTGCTAGCTTGGAATAGTACTTACATCATCTTCCAGCTGATTTGACACACTCATTTCAGGAAGGGGAGTCCTCTTTGACTTGTCATCAGTGTCATCTGAGAATAGAGTTGTGCTATTTGTATTTACATCACTTGGGTCCGATCCTACTAAATCAAAATCATAGTTCAGAATGTTCTTCTCTGCCAGACCAAGCTGCAAACCCAAATCGGTATGGCAATTAATCCTTTGCATAAATATGAAATAACTATCAATTAGACTCTGAGGAAGGTCACTAGTCTACACATGGAACACATTCAGTGAGGTGGCATTTTCAGCTAATAGACCCTGTAATTATTAGTTCTCACATTGTTTTCTTTTTCCTGCAGTTCCTCATAATGGATGACTCAAGGAATACAATAAATCATGTCCTTCAATCAATCGAAAAAATGGTAACCAGAATGTTACAATCTATTGCAGTACTAATATTTAGCACAGAAGATCTCTTAATAATGAAAGGTGGCCCAGATCTCTGCATGTGCTCAATATTTACAAGTATGCTGTTGATAGGAAAAAACATTGAATCCATTTTTAAACAACATATAACTAGCAAATTTAGCAATGGCTAAGAACTAAGGTTCAAAATATCGATACGCCTGATACGCCGGTAGGGGTGCGTCGGGCCATATCGGTACTTTGTTTTATACTTTTTTTTATTTTTTTTCAAAACCGGTTCAGGGGGCCGGTTTAAGGCTCTCCACCCCCCTGAACTGGTCAGAATTCCAATACACCCCCTGTAGGGGCGTATCGGGGAGCCCCCAAAATGATACGTATCGGCCAATACAGGCCGATACGTGTCAATACATTGAACCTTGCTAAGAACCAATAATGGCATATATGACTCGGGTACAGTGTTCAAACCATGTGCCTTCTTCTCCACATGTGAGTCCACAAGTTTAGTAGTTCATTAGTACGTAATGGTTTCACAAGATAGTCAGCTGCTCCAAGCCTTAAGCACTTGACAACAATTGAAACCTCATCTTGGGTAGACATCACTGAGCAGGAAAAAAAAAACAGAAAACACCAAAGATGATAAAATTGAAGTGGGAAATGTGGGAACTGACACTTGCTGATAAAAATATATATATATGGGAACTGACACAACAAGGAAAGCTTACTGATGATGGGAATACGCTGTAACTTGTTGTCCCGCATAATGTACTTCAACATCTTCAAGCCTTTGGCTATTGGAAAATCAACTTCAGAAAGAATGATATCTATATCAGGCCCCTCTGCATTCAGTGCATCAATGACCTGCCTCGGTGACCTCACTGAAGTTACTGTAAGGTAATGGATAGCCAGTCAGTACACAAATGTTCAATCACCTCCACATGCAGGTTCAAGTATATTAAGCAAGAGATGCTAACAACATTGGGATCTGGCTAGACCTCTTCACAGGCTGGGCTTCAGGCTCGGCCATGAACATTTTACACTACCTTGAGCTCAGGCTCTGGCTTCAGGCCAGGCCCATTCATATTTTGGCAAAAGTCAACCCAAGTTCAGCCTATGAATAGGTCTAGTTCTGGCATACTGTGCAAGTTTAGCTTCCATCCATTATAATTTTCCCTGAGGATGCACAAGCTTCTCACCAGAGTTTAAGGGTTTACTTGTATAAAGCACCGAATTAGCAATAGGGAATCAGGAAAAGCCAAGAAAAGAAAACTGTTCCTTAAATATAGGGATTCCAGTTGTTTTCTGATTTTTTTTCTCAGCACAGTTGTCTACTCCAATCGAAAGAGATAAAACCACTTCAATGAGGTAATCTCTTACAATTTTCGTCCATCCTTTGGGTTGGATATTTTCAAGCTTCAATAATCACTTAATTTAGTAGATAACTCATGACAATAGACATATATTGTGATCAAAACCATCTTTACCAAAATAATATTGCCACCGTATTCTAAACCTATTATATGCAAATTCCTAAAATGGTCATAAAATAGGAAATTCTCCAATACATAGACACGAACTCGTTCCATTCAAAAAGAAAGAACAGAACAGAAAGGAAAAGAAATAAAAAGTAAAAGAAAAAAAGGTAATTTTAGTACAAAGTTCAAGCTGATATGAAGAAACTCCAGCGTACAAAGGATGAATATACCTTGGTAGGAACACTTGCACAGAAGTGTGAAAACTCCTTCAGAGCTCTTAGCGTCATTGTCACACAAAAGAATCCTTACTTTGCTGCGGTCGAGAAAGGGGTTCTGATTATTGTAATTACCACCACCATCTTTTCTCAGAATATTAACCCCCTCCTTGCATTCCATGGCAACGTAATTCGATGGAGGCTACGGTAACCAAATGCTCTCATTACCAATTTATCACCATCATAATCTAAGGGGCATCCGTATCTCCAAAATTATAGCAGTCCTCCAAATGGCATTACCACCGGTCTCCGCCAATCAGACTAGAGCCAGATGAAGAAGGACCTCATTAAATCATTTCATCCAGAGATCTGTCTCCCTACTCCGTTAATCTGAAGAGGCTACGGTTTCTTCATCCTCCACTGTGTCAATCGCGACGAGGTCTCCATTAGCAGCAGGTTGAAGAGGGAGATTTGGCTTTTCAATCAAGTGTGAGTCCCTCAAAATCAAAAGCCTAATTTTTGCAGAAGCAAAGTGAGAATGGAATAATTGTTACTTACAATTGTTAATGTTATTATAAAGTATAAACAAAGACAGCTAGTGGTGCATGCTATCTCTTTTATCCAAAAACAGCAAAGAGGAACAATAATAAATATTATCTGATGTCTGTAAAAGATATAACACAACCACCTGTTCACAACATTTGTAAATCCACTAAAAAATTTCTACAAAAAAAAAGACTAAAACTTTTTTACTTTTTTTCTTGTTCTGAATTGACTAAACATTTTAGCTTCTAAAACAATTGTTTAGCGAAAAACGAAAAACGAAAAAAAAAAAAAAGATAATAAATAGCAATGTAATCAGACTTGAGAAGGTTAAGGGCAGGAGGCCAAACCTCTGGTGAAAATGAAGCATCCAAGGAGTGGAAGGGAGGCTCACGTTAGCTTCTTCATCATCAGCAAGACAGGCAGGCAAGTCAATGTAGGATGGGAAAGTGCAGTCGTCGGCGGTCGAAGCAGAATGTAAGGACGACGGGCAAGAAAGAAAGATTTGAAAATTCTAACATCTAGTCTTAATCTTAACTTTATGTCTGTTTGTTGGAATTATAATATGTTATATTAATATTAGTATTTATTTAATTAAATTAGTAGTATGTTTATTTTATGAAAGCCTGGGCCGACTTCGCCGGTTGCTGGAATTGTGTGTTTGAGCTGTTGGGTGTTAGCAGGAGCGACGGTTTCAGGGGTTGGGAAGCAGGGAGAAGTGGTGGCGACGGTGGTGAAGTGTGCGGACTGCAGAGGCAGAGGCGACCGGGAAAGAAAGAGAAGAGAAAACAAAGAAGTTTTGTTCTACTTTGTATAGACGCGAACGTAACAGAATGTTGGTCAGCTTCAGCCGAGTGAGTAGCGATAGAGATGAGGCCACGTCAAACATTTGAAAATCCCAAAATCAGTGCAGTGTCGACTGTCGTGGTGGCAGTGAGTGATAGATAGGCATAACACACAAGCCGGAAGGAGATCCAACTTGTGGTAGTGGTGGTGGTGGGGAGGCTAGACCTGGTCTGCTGGTCACGGGCCGGCCCGGGTTTTACCTCTACATTAACGCTCAGGCCCGAGCCCGACCCCGCCTGGAACTGAGCCCGGTCAGAAATTTGGAAAAATATTTTTTTCTTTTTTATTTAATTATAAACTATTTTATTTATATTAAAAGATCTCAAAACCTAAAAATAATGAAAGATCTCACTATTATTTGAAAAAATAAAAATATTATACATATATATATATATTTTTTTTTTGTTTTATTATATAGTACATTATTAAATCGGGCTCGGTTAGCCTAATATTTTAGTCCCGAGCCCATGTTCATAGGCCTGAAATCCTATCCAGGCTTGAGTTAGATCAGGCAGCCCATTGGGCTACCCGGCCCATGAATAAGTCTAGTGGAGGCCTTTGACCCTTTGAAACATGTACATGCTTTTGCTCGTATCAATTTTATAAGAGGATGATGATAACTATAATATGTTTCTAAACTTTTATACAATTTTTTTGTACTTTATTTGTATAAAAATAATTTTTACTTAGACAAATTACACCAGTACTTTGGGAAAAGTAGTATTAAAACTTTAAAACGTGCAGTACTTGAACTCCTAAAAATTGCCAATTTAATATTCATCCTTAGTAGTTGTTCACTTATTTGTATCATGAGATGATATGTGTTATTTAATTTTTTTAAATTGTCAAAATTGCCCATTTTAAGATTTTTTGAGACCATTTCACTTTTGGTTGTCTTCTCCAACAATGGTCTAAACCTCTTTTGTTATGGATTGAATAATTAAAAAAATTTTACAACAATAATGGTCTAAATCCATCTTCTCTGCTGATATTTTTCCAGGTAGTTTCTCCAAAGGTTATAGGACATAAAGTGAACATTGGTGCCCAATTGTAGTGAAAAGGGATTTAAGCAAGGATATTTTGGCCATTTCATAATTATGTTTCTCTCGCCTATTTAAAATTTGAAGGGTTTTGTGTCCTTTCACATGCCATCTAATGTCGGTTAATGATTTTGGAATAAACTAGCAGTTCTTGAGAGTTTAGGTATCGTAATGGCACATTTTGAGGTCCTGGCCCTAAAATGAGACTAGCCCCAAAGTACATGTTACTAATATGCAATTTACCCTTTTATTTATCACATTTGTTTTTGTTTAACATGATGGATATACTATATTAGAAATGTGTCCAAATGTTATCTACAAAATTTTTTATTTAATTTAATTTTTATTATTTAATTATGACATCAAGGGTTGGCATATATGACCTAAAAGGTTGAATTATTGACTTGCCACCAAATAGGAAAATAATTCTATTTGCGGGTTGGTTTTAAATTTTGTATCTTATTTCTATTGTCAATAAAAGCAATTTTTCTTCATTACACATCCTTTTATTTATTATGATTAATATAAAATATTGAAGATGTGTCCAAATTTTTTCTACTAAATTTATGTTTTTTTATTATTTAATTTTGATATTAAAGATTGACACATTTGACCTCAAAGGTTGAACTATTGACCTACCATCAAGTAGGAAAAAATCCACTTTTGGATTAATTTTAAATTTTGTATTCCATTTCCATCATTAATAAAAACAATTCTTATTGATCATACTTATTTTTTTTTGAATATGATGACTACAAAATATTTGAAATGTGCTCAAATGTTTTTACAAAAATTTTGTATTTTTTCAGATCTCTTTGTGTTTTTTTTTTAATTTAAGCTAGATGTTGAGTTGCTTACCACCTCTTAGACAAAAGAATGGTTTAGTTATTGGGCAATTTGAAAAGACATAAGTTTTATAGGATCTAATTTATTGGTGAGGAAAAATGCTTAAATATATGATTCAATGAGAGAGAATGAGAATTAATACTTTAAATATAAGTGTTAATGTAGAAAAATTAAATGAAATGAAAAATAGTAGTTTAAATTATTGCCCTCACAATTAGAGAAGGTCTAAAAATCAATAATAACGATATTTTAGTCAAATAAAAGTTCTAAACTCTTATTTGTATTTTTAATGGTAATATAGATGTATATAAAATTCCTCACCTCACCTTGTCATTACATTCAAAATGTTTCAAACCCAAAGAACATATTTGATATTTCAATCTTTCTTTCTATATACAGTGATATTAATTAGGATGGTGTTTGGTATCGGTGTAGCTTTTCGAAGAAACGGTGCCAACTCAGCATTGGAGATGCGTTTAACAGAAAAACTCCTAAAAAGTTATTTGGTTGAGCCATTTATCAGATAAACGGCTCTCTGAAAAATCATGTGAATTGTTTATTAAAAAACACCAATTTTGACGTTTTTCATTTTCAAGACTGATTTTTTACTGTTTGGCTTATATGGTGTCTAATGGTGTCTAGTGGCACCTAATGGTGCTGAGGTGTAAAAGAATCGTACAAAATGTTTAAAGCAGATTTTATCTCGTTTTTCAAGACAAAATCATACAAAACGTTTATCTTATAAATGCCATCGATACCAAACAACCTCTAGGTAGTTTGGATTATGACTAATAGTCAGCATTAGTACCAACCAAACAAGTTGCATATCAAAACATTGTTGGCAATTAGATGAAGTGCCACTGTCTCTCTAAACCTTAGAGATTGAAATGACAATAGTACCAAACACAACCAATTTTATTAAACAGGGCACAAATTACCCAAATAAATAAGTTAGGCTTAGTTTGGTAGGGGGTGTTCTACAACGTGGTCGGTTTTGTTTTTAAAAACAGGAACAAATGTCACATTAGCAAAATTATATTATTTTTTACTAATGTGGCATTTGTTCCTACTTTCAAAAATAAAACCAACCATGTTCTAGTAGAATGGGAATCTAATCTTTATAGAGCCCACCTCACATCTATCTTACGGGCACATCCCACTATGTATTGAAAACATCTTTTATGGGATGCGTCTGTGAGATCGGTGTGAGAAATTCTGTGTGATAAGTAGATCCTGACTCGTTCTAGTCATAGACAACCAGAAAAACCCAATTTCCAATTAACTACTGTCAAATCAGTACTAAAAAAATCGACATCTAGATGGATGGAAGTGGGTCGACTTTGGTATGGGTTAAACAGGATGGTTGAGTACTTGAGCTTGGAGCTGTCAGCCTTCACTTATCTATTTATCTTTCTCTAGCTGTCAGTAGTTAATAGTGTAAGGTTGGGGTATGAGCGCTAACCACGTGAATTTTGAAAGGGTGATCCACTGAACCCACGATCTCTTTGTCTAGTAGCTTTTGTGGGTTTCTTGAATAAATGGAATTCGGTATCCATGTCGTATTGTTGTACATAGATAGCGTTGGGGGTGGGCCTCCTAACATTTCAAAAGATACAAAAAAAAGGGATTAATATAGAGAAGGGCGACCATTTTTTTTTTTCTTTTTGGGATGCAAGTACGGGAAAATCCCATAATCACCCTTGGTGAAATTATTATTACTTTTGTTTGTTGCTCTGCATCCGTGATCCGTAGAGTAACTGGCCCATATCCATTTAAATTAGTTTTTGGGCCGTGAAAAAACATATAAAAAGACGAGGGGTTTTGGTGATTTTCTAATTGGGGAGCTGATTTTTTTTGGGATGAGTGGATTGTAAGTCTGCAATTCACCTCAGAAATCTGAAATTGCAGCTTTTCTTAAAACTGTATCATGTCTGTGAATTTGGTATCAATCTATAGATAGGATCATTATGCTGATGGTTTCTCGATACTCCTCTCTAGGGGTTGTATTGGGTCAGATACTGTTCCAAAGGGTAGTCGGGCCTTAAATTGATCCTTCTGAACCAGTTTCAAAAAATAAATAAATAAATAAAACCTAAAAAAATACCGATACAGGCTGATATGCCCTATGTCGATACTTTGAACCTTGATAGAAAGAAAATATGTTACACAAAATGGGGGTATCATACCCTAATAAAAAGTCATCAAAACAAATAAAAGCTAAATCACTAGGAAGGGTACAATGATTGAGAGAAACGACACCACTAAACAAAGAATAAGCCTTATTCATCAGTCAGTCCGCTGCTTAGTTCACTTCCCAGTATACATGTTTGTAGCAAAATCTACCTTTCAATTTCTCTATCTACAAGTAGTTTGGGATTACATTCCTGAGATTCCAAGGAGGAGGGATCAGACCTTTGAGACATTTTATAACGAGATTAGAATCCCCTCAATACTGGTTGAGAACTCGTTGAAGTTCGTAGCTAAATTATGAGTTTCCCATGCTGCCCAAGCCTCGACAACATTAATAGTAGAATTATCCAAGTTATATGCTTTATAATCCAAAACTTTGCCCAAATGGAGTTCAGAAGTCTAATTGTACATACAAACTCCACCCAATATGCTCAAAAGCTTTGGTGCGGCCGATACTGTTATTTTTGTTTTACTCAGGACATTTTTTCTGGTTATGGGCCTAATGCATTTTATCATTGGCATACGACATAATTATTAGTTGTACAGTTTGCTAGGTAACTATTATATTCAGCTGATCTAACTATATGTTTGACATCGATTCTACAGATGCAGCACTGATGTGTGCGTTGGAAGTATAAAAACGGTGCATTTTTTTTGTTTGAAAACATTGCTGTCAGGTAGACATTTCCTAGAGCAACGACAATGTTTTCTATTTGGTACCAATGCTCCAGTAAACGTTTTCAGCACTGGTACCCATTATCTAGTGCCACACCACTACCACCTCATGTATATTGGCAGCAATGAGCTGTAACTCCAGGAAATATCAAATTCAGCGTTGCTCCAAGCCATACCTTCCTGATTTCCAAGGCAACTTAGAGCACCGTTTTTATGGAAAAATGATTCCAAACAAATGTCTATTTCCTAGAACACCGTTTTTCCGACATGGTGCTGATGTGACACCATTTTCTGGAACAACGGCAACAATGCCAAACAGATCCTATGTTTACTTGAAACCTCCTAAATCAGATTGAATTTTGGATGGATGGTTGATTAATTGTTTATTTGACCCTCTTAGCTCCCCTTTGGTGACTCTCCTCGGTTGATTGACTCTGCCCTTGCACTGAACCCGTCTGTTCTAAGAATTGCTAATTTCGTTGATCCAGATTAGACTTGTTCATGGGCCGAGCCGGGCTGGGCTCAGGCCAGGCTTTGACTCTTTATTAATAGAAAAATGTTAGGCCCGAGCCCGATCCTGGCCCGACCAATGGGCCTACAACTTGGGCTCGAGCCCGGCCCTAATAAAAAGCCCGAAGCCCGAGCTCGAGCCCAAAGCCCGACCTAATAAAAGAAATTCAAAATTTTCCCTATTTAAATAGACATTATCTATTTTAATTCAGATGTTTTTTCCCCTATTTAAATGAACAATGGGCCTACAAGTGAATCAACAACCTTCTCAAATCAAAAAATTTATTCAAATAGACATCACATAGGGTTTTTACTTAGGTTTAACTATAGGTCGGGCCGGGCTATTTTGGCAAAACCTGAGCCCAACTCGAATTTTATGTGGGCCGGGCTTTTTGGCCCGAGGTTAAGCCCGCGGACCAAAAAGCCTATTCAAACCCATCCGGGGGTTAGGCCGGGCCGGCCCATCGGGCCACCCGACCAATGAACAGGTCTAATCCAGACTCACATGAATGAATGGATGGTCCAACGACTAAAAGATTTTCTGGGACATTTTATGATGACGATGATATGTACCATCCCACTCCCAATTGTCAATTATGAGTTGAGTCGAAGGACATTCTTGTGTGGCAACATTCAAATTCGGGTGTTCTCTCAACGGCTATGGCATATAGATTCCTTTCCCAACAAGAGCCCTCTTCCTCTTCATCCTATTATGCTTTTGGTAATACCTCTTGGAAGCATTTGGGATTTCCTATTCACTTTTTTTACCTACTTTCTATCCACAATGAATTGGAGCCACACATCTCTATTTTGAATTGAAAAATTTGGGTTTTCTTGAAAAGTATTTTGAAAAATCAAATTCCTCCCTCCCAAGGTTCATATGTTCCTTTGGAGATGTATTGTTGGTGCTCTTCCTTGGGCGAAGAATTTCTCTTATCATTCACACCGAGTCAGTCCCTTTCCAGTGTGATGTCATTAGAAGAGTTTGGATTGCCTCCTCTTTGTCGATTCGTGTGGATTGGTTGTATCATTGGTTTCAGCTTGATAATCCTACATCCTACTCCCTCTCCTTGGAGGATTAGACACCTTATTGAAGATTGCAAGCTCATGCTCGATTCCCTCATAACTTGGTGAATTGGACCCCTAGCGATGCTAATACAGTCGCTCATAAGTTGGTTAAGCATGTTTTAGGTATTCAGAACAGTTTTACTTGACGCCTGTTTGGCGCATTTTTCTGCGTGGTCTTTCAGTTGTTTATAAGTTGGGAAGACCGAAAATCGGTCTATTGTCATTGACACACGAAAGATCTAGCCATCAAAAAATGGGATGCTGAAAAGACACGAAAAGCCCATTTTGGGTTGATTTCGGGAAACTCTAAATGAATCTTCTCATGTCTTTCGCATTTTAATCTCGCACGAAAAGACCCGAAACGATGCATAGAAAAATACGCGTTTATCAAATGGTCTTCGGGCTGTCCAAATCTTATGTCAAAAGCTCAATACGTCTTTTAACTATCAGAGCTACAAAAAATTCTTCTCAAAAAGAATTGTCAAACGGGCCCTTGATCTTTTGCGCCATCTTTTCTTGATGAAACTCTAAGTAATTGTTCTGCCGAGCTTTCTTCTTAATGATATTCGTCTGTCCAACTTGACAGGCGTTTTGCCTAAAAAAATATTGTATTTTGGATCATATTTCATTCTTTGGATTTTTTGAAAATGGAATGGATTTGGATGGGACTGGACCCAACACAATCATAGGTCTACATGTCAAGTATGAGATCATAAAATGAATTGCGGATTGTATTGCAACAAAATCCTTACCCACTGTTTTTGGTCCTACCCATCTGGGGTCTCTTGGGAGGATTGGATTGGAATTGGATACGGTTTTAACACCTCTCTGCGTTTTTTTTCTTTTTCTTTCTTTTTTTTTTGGCACTAAGTGGCCACTTTCAAATTTGGTCCTTTATTCTTCTTACTCTTAACAGGTCAAGATTGTATCATTACTTCATTACATCAAGTAATAGTCGCCACTCAATATTCGGACCGGATTGAATGGTCGGACCGAAAAAAACGGACCAGTTTTGTTTTTCTTTAAAACCGTTTTTTCCCCTAAAATCGTTGATTTTGATCAGCAAACCACTGAATCAGCTAGTTAACTGTTTGAATGGCTTTGACCGTTTTTCAATTTTTTTTTTAAATTTTAAATTTTTTTTGTCAAAACAGACTGGCCGTTCGAATTGAATGGTCGGACCGTTCGAACCGATAACCAGACTCCTGACCGGTTCGGTTTTTAAAAACCATGCAATATACATCATGCGGCCACAAAAATAGACATTTATTTTAGAAGAGGTATTCACCAATGTATATAATTTTCATTTTTTAAGTAAAAATAATTGCCACTTCAGAAAAAAAAAATGCATGAAATTTGCTGACGTGGCAATTTTTTGATATAGAAAACAAAATCATTCACATTTTGGCAAATATCTCCTCAAGATTTGCCTTTGGAAAAATTTTGGTCCAACATTGAAAATAGAACACCAATTATGCATTGTTACATAGTGAGATCCTAATAAGCTTTTGATCGAGGAGGCCCATCCAACGAAATCCAAATCATTCTTTCACATGTCGTAGCTCCAATGGTCCAACTGATTTTTTTATTTTTATTTTGTTATGTTTATCTAAGATCTTTTCTGCTTCTATTTAATTTTCTATCAAAACATCAAACCTAGCCTCAGCATAGCTGAATTCTCCAATTCATAAAATTTCAGTTATATTTCCTGTGTTCTGCCAAAACTTTTGTTTCCACCTCTAGAAGATATCAGTTAGACTAACTTAAATTGATGCTGTATTTGTTTTGATGGAAAATAAGAAAAAAATAGAAAGTAGTAGGAAAGTTCTTAAGGCTCAGTTTGGGAAGGGTGCAAATACAAATATGCACAAGTTCAATTGTGCAAATATAGGTTTTGAAATATAAAATACAAAGCTAGTTTTTCACTGTACATATTTATATTTACATACACTCTTTAGGCTCAGTTTGTTTGTAGTGAATTTTCATTTGCATTGGCGTAAATGCATGGGAAGAGATAGACTGCAAATTCTGGTTTATTTTAGCATCAAATTCAGCTGTCTTATTTGTTTGTAAGAAGTAAAGTGACGTAGTCCTTACCTTTTATGAAAGAGCATGGAGATGGGAATTAGGAGGGTTATTTGTTTGGGAGTGAGATAGGATAAAAGAAGATGTGATCCTCATCACTTTATATGAGACAGTATTAATAAGGTATAAGGATGGTGGTACAAATTTTGCATTTATTTTGAGATGCAAAATTTGCATTGGCATTTTGAATCGAATAGAAGTGCAAATCATAATTAAAACAAAATGGATGCAGAATTGAACCGAGTGCAAAATATGCATCTACTTCATATTTGCACTACAAACAAATAGATCCTATGTGGAATATTAGTAAAATTGTTAAGAATTTTCCCCTGACTTTCTACTCCTTGTTTTCTATCCAACCAAACATATAGGCTAAATCAGGCTGCAGAATCGTCTCAATGTCCTGCCTTATGTGGGTCGGACTTCGGAGGGCATCCGTCCTATTCCACAAGACATGAGGTAGAAATCGATCCCAACCCCATCAAGTGGCGATGGGCTACAAACGAAGTTGTTTAAATATGGAACACTTGTGTGTTCACTCTTGATAGCTCCCATATTGACATGATATTGCTCGGGCCAATAGATCATCCCCTAACTGGCTAATAAAGGATTTGGAGCAAATTAGTAGGGGGGCGCAATTTGGGTTGGCTCGAATTAAAATTTGAGACAGTTATGGGTTCGAGTTTTGAATTGGGCCCATGACAAAATCTCAACCCTAATCCATCCAAGTTGCACCCCAGCAAATTAGTAAATTTTGTTAATATAGTAGGTATTTTCATTTTAAAAATAAAACCATTCACATTCACAATGTAGAATAGATCTGATTTTCCAATACCTTGAAATGGTTGATCCCTTTATTAATTCGACCAAGTTGATGTTAGACTAACAATTAGTGCTTTGATTTTCAAAGATAATCACTCTTATTTTTCTTATATATTCATTGAGTGACAGGTGCAGGTGCATATATAAAATTGAAATGGACTGAAGCTTTGGGTTTGGGTGGTCATCTGGATGTGAAGAGTGAGCGAGTGAATAACAAAACTCATTACTCCTTTTTCCTCATTGTTTGTAATTTGGTGTTGACCACGTCTTATCACACTATGAGTGAAGCAGCAAAGTGCTGGACCAGTGTCAGGTAAAGACCCGGCATATGAGGGTCCCATTCTCCGCCATTCAAGGGACGTTTATGATGCTCTACTGAGGTCGCTCCGGTCAAAGTGAGTTCTTGCTTCACTCCGGCCCCTTTGTTCCTGCTGTGTGCTGATTGCCTTCTTCCCCCCCTTTTCTTTTTTTCCTTCTTGCAACATTATTCTGTTTCCTCTTCCTTTCCCAAACAACCTGTTGCAGACTAACTTATAAAGGTAACTAGGTTTCTCCCAGATTCCTCATTCTAGCTAGGTCTTCCTCAACTCTCTTTCCTTCTGGTTCAGGAGGTAGGAGCATGGGATGTTGAAGGACTTCTTTGCTCAGTTTTATTCCGCATCTTAGCTTCCTTCTAAACAACTACTTGACTGTTCTGTGCAGTGTTTGTCTTAAATGTGGAAAGCGCCGAGTAATGACTAATGATTGTTCTTCATCCCAAGCGACCCGACTGCTGGACCTCTCCTAGTAAATCATCAACCAGTACATAAGAAGCTACCATGGCTGAACAGGTGTTAGTTTTTTGTCTTCACTTCTCTTTTGGAGTTTTCCTTCTTTTCATCTCTTCTCCCATTCTTCTTCTTCTTCTTCCTCCTTAACATTATATCAATTGATGTCTCAGGACGATGGATGGCCTTTGGGGTTGCAGCCACCAAATGTCAGAACCGGGCTGATCAGAAACCGTGATTTGTCTGGATCATTTTCATTAAACACTTTGCTCACTGATTCTCCAAGCTCCTCCACGGATTCTTCATCAGGCTTGGACACTGAGGTAATTAGGTAAAACATAACTTAATTACAGTAAGATATATATGCTCATTGTACTGCAGGTGATTAGGTAAAGCTCTAAAATTTAGATGATGAATATGGCAGAATATATTATGCTCAATTGCTCAGTGAAGAAAAAACTGTGACTACGAATTATCTATTATCACTTTAACAACTTTATCAGACGAATGCATCTTCTTCTATCTGCTTTTTCTCTTTTTCTTTGATTTCCCTTCCATTAAAAAATTTTAGGTCAAGGATCCCTTAATTAGTCTCCCCCACCTCTCTCTCTCTCTCTCTCTGTTTGTTTGTTTGTTTTTTTATGGAAGGAATAGAACATTGAGATCTCTTCACTCTTAAGTCGTCATGCCAGGAAATTATGATATTACAGTGTACAAATTAAAACAAACAGTTATGATTATCAAGTAACTGGTTGGGGTAATTCATGAACCTAGGAGGCTAGAACCATCTGCCCTGCAACCATAACCAATGCAACCAATGTGGGAGTGGGAACTAAAACCGACCTAACAATTTAAGTAAGTAGTTATTAATTAAAGTTTCTGCTTGTTTCAGTCGACTGGATCCTTCTTCCATGAAAGAAGAATCACACTCGGGAGCCTTATTGGCATCTCAAACATTCTAGAGCTCTCGAGAAGATCGGTTAGGGGAAGAAGAGCAGAGGTCTTGAGAGGCAAGAAGAATTACAGGTCCAAGATGATCTGGTTATTTTCTCTGTGCACAAAAGATAACGCGGATGATGTAGATAATATGAACAATGGACCATCGCTCGGACATTTTCTCGAAGTGGAGAGGAGAGCTTCTAGCGGTTACAGGAGGAATCACGGCAGCCCTGGCTTTTATGAGCCTGAAGAGTTTGGCCAGCAGTCAATGAATGCTTCTGATGATTCTTCAAATCCGTTATTCATTAACGGCAGAGTAGCCCCCCCTCGGTCAACTCCATGGTTTGGTTCAGACGTTGGAAGGAGATCAGGTGGAGGCTCGAATCATGAGAATGGTGGTTGTGGAGTTTCACTGTTGTTATTATGCATGTGTGGACAACCCACCAACTGAGGCGCCATTTTTCACCTTCAGAAAACTTCATTTTACGCCCTTTTGTTTTTCTTTGGATCGAAGAATAAAAATTTATGTTGGAATGAAGTTTATCTGATTCACCTATATTAGGACTTACCAAGAAATTCTTAATGCATGGCAGATGATGGTGTTCTTCGTTCAACAGTCTGAAGTGAGTCCACTCTTTCCGATTGAAGAAGCAGAAATAAAGTGTATATCGGAAGGAAGTAAAACAGTCCCACGTAAAAAGTATTGGGTAATATTGCCAAAAAGATTCTCCTCTCCTGTCTGTCCTTTTCTTCGTCAAAAATTAAGTTGGTTGAATTAGGTACTCGTGTAAAGTTTTATGGGGATTTGAGTAATTCAATTTTTTGGTAAACTGATTTGAATATTTAATTCCCCGGTTCCCCTCCCAAATCCAAAATATATTTTAATAGAATCACGATTCAGCACCCATAACAAGAATTCTGCCCGGCCAGTCTCTACTCTCTACTCATCCAAGAGATGTAATGAGCTTTTTGCATTAAGATCTTGATAGGCTAAAGACATTTTAGTTAAGATGTGTCTTTCTTTATGTGAAGACAAGTTGAAAAAAAAACAAAACCAAAAAGCTTTATTTGGAACTTCTGCAAATTGCCTAAGAGGGGTTTTGCACATTCGATGTAACATCTTTTGACGGTTAAATCTTTCCCCCCAAAAAAAAATAAAAACACAAACTATTGGATTTTCAGTTTTTTATTTATTTTTGGTATTAGGCAACTTAAATTATACCAATGCAAGACTGCAAGGTAAAAAATATACACCTGAGTCTCAACATTGATGCTCTCCGAAAATGGCAGTATTTCAAAATAAGCGTTCAAGTCTTCGTTCTCTTTAATGAATATCAAGCTTTGAAAGTCTTCCTTCTATTTTGTGTATCGTTCACCATGAAAACCGGCCGAAACGTATTAATTGTACAATATAATGCGATACACGTTGATATTGTGAACGTTGTTCAGTTGTATGGAGATTTTAAAACTTTTTAATATTGAGGATTCCCACCACTTCCTTTTTTTTATTACACCACTTTCGTTTGACTATAATATTTTTTTTTGGATAAGTGGATACGATAATAAAATATTAAAAATTATATAAGATATTGTAAAGTTGTCATTTAAAATACTAATAAAATAAAATAATTAAAACTTATAGAAAATATCAAAAGGAATTCTAAAATTTAAAAGAGAAATTTCATCACCGATACGGGGTCTGATATTTCCAACGCTTAAAACATTGATCACAAAGTCAGCCTAAAGCAGCTGGTAGCTGAAGCAGCCCTTCATTAATTCTTCGTGATCACTTGATCAATTCCCACCAATTTTCAAAACCAAACTAGCTAATCCCTTTCTTGTTCAAAAAGCAGGTTAGAAGAAAACTGGTATAGCCCTACTGATTAATGAAACCGCTAGTAGGGCTGTTGATAAGAAGGCCCAATCGGACCAAACCAATCAATTCGGACCGACTCAGCCTGAGTTGGCCAGGTTTTCATCAGCACCGGTCGGTTTCGAGTTGTACAAATTCATAAATCGATAGTTCGAGTCGATTTCGATTTTCTTGTGTGAAAACCGAAACCGATCCAAATCGAACTGACTTAGTTCCTACTTAACTAAAAACTGAAATATCTGAAAATATATATTCCAATATCTATATCTAAAAAATATATATTATGAAATATGTCAGATATATATTTCCAGAAAATATATATTCCAATATATTTGTATGTATATTTTTGTTTATATATATATATATATTTCTAAAATATATATTTCAGTTTTAAATATATTTCCAGAAAACTAAATGGCCATGGGGGGCATGGATGAACTTAGAGCCGAAATCGACCCAAACCGACCCAACCCGACTCAAACCGACCAGGTTGGTTTTGCTTAACACTGGGTCAGTTTCGGTTTCCATCTCAGGTAACCCAACTAGGTCGGGTCGGTTGGAAAAAACTCAGTAAACCGACCCAACCCAACCCGTGAACAACCGCCAGGGTTGAACTCTCATATGCCTCACATGCCTTAGAAGAATATAGAATACTATAGAGAAATGAATTTCCTTAGAACTCTATATCCATCTACGAGTCTCCTTGACTGATGGAAATCTAGATCGACACAATGAGATCGATCCTTGTCATTTTATCTTAAACTGTGACTGTTTTAATAAAAGTCCAAGTTCCTGTTTCGTTTGTGGGAATAAGGGTCTGGAATGAGAATTGGAAGGAGCTATTCTAATTTCAATATGTTTGGTTGGATGAAATCAGAATCCCTTTTCCATTTCTGATGGAATGACATTCCCCCATTTGAGGGAATGGCCATTCCCTCTCTCTCTCTCTTCAGAATGAAGTCTCTTTCTTACTGATTTCAATTTTCATTCTTTTTCCTGTATAAACCAAAAAGACATGGGAATAGACCATTCCGATTCCCAATGGATCCCAAGTATTCAAAACTTGCAAAACAAGAAAACTAGTTTGGATCAAGGATTTGAGACCATTGTCTTATGTTGATACCAAATACATGCAAGACTCAATTGGATTTGGAGTGGGTTAAATAGCTCTCTAATCTATTCTATCACTATATATTAAAACAAAACTGGCCACGCACCCTTTAATTCTTCCCCTCTTCCAACCAAGCATTTCTAGCCTCTCCTCCTTATACCATTTCTAGCTCTCTTAAATTGCCACTTCAGCAAGCCCCTCTCCCTTTTATTAGAAAACTCCCTTTCCGGGCCCTCACTAATTTAAGATTTTTTATCAGTAATTTAGGTGAAGATTCCTCTTTTTGTAGATTTCCAATATCAGTACACGTTTACCCATTCTAGATTAGTTTCCATTCTACAATGATATGGATCCTACCAACCAAAATAAAAGCTTCTCTTCTTCCCTTCCCTAGCTCTATAGAAATCAAGGTTTTTAAAACAGGAGCGGATAGGGAACCGTTCTGGGGTTCGGTTCTCTGGTTGAACGGTCTGGCTGTCCAATCCAAATAAATGGCCAAATAACAATTTAAAAATTAAAAATTAAAAAAAAAAACAGAAAACAACCAAAAACCATTCTCGGGTCGAATGGTTTGACAGTTTAACCACCTGGGTCAATGGTTTGCTGACCAAATCAACAGTTTTTGGCCAAATAACAATTTTAGGGTAAAATGTAACCAATCAAGTGACCTATTCCTGGTTTTTCCAGTCCAATCCCATTTTGAAAACATTGATAGAAATTGAATAACCAAGACTCTTGCATTATTTTGGGGAGATCCCAGTTCAATACTCAACTAATACTCAAATGGGTTATGTAATCGATAATGAAAACCCTAAGGTTATGTAACCAAGACTCCTCCATTATTTTGGGGAGATCCCAATTTAGTACTCAGCTAACACTCAAATAGTTGAGACCCTAGTTTGGTATTCAGTTAACACTCAAATAGGCTATGTGTTGGGAAATGGGGTCACAGGGACTTGGAGGAGAAGCTCTGAGGCGCGTCTAAAGGCACTACTTTTAGAACGTTATTTGCCCCCACTCAGTTGCACTGAGTTTTCTATTGGGTTACAGACAAATCTGTTCCTAGGATACAATAGAGCCTTGGGCGAGAATTTGCAATCAGCAAAATTGAAGAATCTCCGAATAAACCTTCTATTAGACAATAGCAGACTGGATTGAGAGGAAGACAAAGTGATTTTTCAAAAAAATTGTGTGTGTGTGTATTATTTTTTTCATATAATTGATCAATCAAACCCCATTGGGTTTAATTTCTAATGAGATTAAAATCCAACATTTTGTAATCGATAGCTAGCACCAATCTTGCTATAGTAAGTTGATTATTAGATAATGAAAATAATAAGGCTATGTTTGATTGCAATGCAAATAAATTTGCACTGATGCAAAACCATGGCAGTGAATGATTTGAGTGTAAATTCCGACATATTTTTGTTTCAAATTTTAGCTTATTTTGTTTGATTACAATACAAATGAAGTAAATTAAGACATAAAGCAGAATAAAATAAAATCTAAAACAAAATGAAACAAGAATTTGCATTTTTTACATTTGCACTCCCATGCGTTTATACTAGTGCAAAATTTACACTGCAACCAAACACAACCTAAGTGTTTTTGTTAGAAGTAATGAATACCTTTATCGTCTTATTCTGTTGTTTATTTGAGTGGAAGATATTGCTTTAGTCCATGCAATTTTCTTCAATATACGTCATTATTTGACATCACACCTTTCTCTTCATTTTTTTTTGATAAAAATCTCTTCATCTTTCCTTTTCTCAGAATTATTTGATTCTATTTGATACAAAGACAGGTTTGTTTATTTTTTGTTCAAACTTTAGCGGAATTTGAGTTGTGTTTAACATGAAAGTTCTTGAGACTTTGCAAAATGGGAACTTCTTACTTGATCAAACATGCTTCTGAGTTATCAGTCGGCATTAGCATCACTCTTTAGGTTCACGTATGGGATGCTACTATTTGTCTCTTCCAAAAGTTTGTCTCCACCGAGAAACATCACTGTAAGTCTCTAATGTGTCAAACATTTAGTATCTCCGATTTCCAAGTATGCCGCGCCCAAGCTCTAGCATTGTAATGACTTTCATTTTATTTTAAGTTTTATGCCTGTTTTACTCTGTTTTTCCCATTTTAATCATTTTCTGGTGAGTTTCCGACATCCACAAGACATTATCGGCGCCCATGCATAACGTTGACCCAGATAAACCTCATCCATTGTAACTAATCCAGATAAACCAAATCTCTAATAAATCTGATCTCTATCATTGTATTCGTGTATATCATTGTACAGATAAACCCTATCATTATACAACTATAAATACAATGGATGATCAACCCCAAAGGGTGTGATCTTCCTGTTCAAATCAACACTGTTGTTCACTTCTTTATGGTATCAAATATCTCCAATCTCGTACCCATAAAGTTGGACAACACAAACTATCCGCTATGGAAATCTCTGTTCGAACCCATACTCAGAGGGCATTGTCTCATGTCCTTCATTGATGGATCTAAACCAGCTCCAAGCACTAATGATCCTATGTTAGAGACTTGGTATGAACACAATCAGATGCTGCTATCCTAGATTCAAGTTACCCTATCCACATCAGCATTCCCATACATGGTTG